CTGGATGGTGGCACAGCAGGAAAACACAACGCTCCTCGAGGCTGACCCGCAGGGCAAGGTTCTGGGTTTGCGTCTGGAGATCTCGCCGAGTGTGCTGGGCACGGGTGTGCCCACGACCCAGGCTGAGGCTGGCGGTGCCTTCTCCTGCACGCTGTCTCGCTGCCTCTCTCTCTCTCTCTCACGAAGTAACTAAACTTTAAATTTAAAAAAGAAAAAGAAAACCCGGAGTGAGACATGGGAGTCTCCCGGAAGCAGCAGCTGCTTTGGAGGAAGGAGCTCAATGCCTAAGTCTGAAGACCTGGTTCAAATCCCACTTCGGCCAAACTCGTGGGGTGCCCCCCGGGACCCTGGCCTGTAAAGGGCTGGGTAAACGGATAGAATGAGAAAGCCTCTGTGACCGGGTCTCAGTCGGAATCCGGGGATAGCCACTGTCCGACACGTGTTGGCTCCTTCCCACCTTCAAACACAGGAGCTGCCCAAGCTGGCCCTGGGCAGGCGGGAGGGGTCCCATCTACCAGAGCCTGAGTCCATACACGGTCCCTCCCAAATCTCCTGCCCGTGGTCACACGGCCGCGCTGGGAGCTGCCCCAGGTGAGCTTGGGGCTCTCCTCTGCAGTTTCTCTTCCTCATGCACAGGCGCTGACGGAGTCCTCAGAATGAGGAGGCCTGGGGCCTCCGACTCACAGTCAGTGGGACTTCCCTCCCCCGGCCCCCAGCCTCTAGCCACTTTCCCTGCAGAGCACGGGGCGGGGGCACCGGCTGAGCCTGACATGTCCTCCCACCCCAATGTCCAGTGGATGCTTCTGGCGCCCAGCCGAGGGGTCCCCAGAGACAGGAGCCTGGCTGGGCAGGGGGCACGCAGTGTGGTCCCAGGGGTGTCAGCCAAGGTCAGAGGGCTAGGGCACCAGTGCGGATCCGGATGGGAGCAGCAGTTCCTGGGCTCAGGGGATGAGCTGGCAGGCCGCCAGCCTCTCGTTGACTCCAGCTGAGCCCAGGAGGCCTGCAGGGCACTGGTGTGGGGTAGGTAGTCTGCAGCCCTGCCACTTCAGATCCTTGACTCTGAAGGCAGAGAGGGCCGAGTGTACTCACTCACCCCAACAAGCTTCTGCGGCAGGGACACCGGCCCCTCCCTCGCCCCTACCCCTCTTGTGCCCAGGCTAACCCAGGCACGTTCTTGGCATATGCCTCAGTTTCCCTGGAGAGTTGGAGGGGTGGCTGGGGACCCATTCCCTCCTACCATAGAGGCACAGGGCTTGGTGCTCGGTTGGCATGAGGTAAATAACAGAGGTGGGACCTGGGTCGGTTAAACAGTGGAGACAATGGTGTTTCTCAGAGGGTTTGGGGAGATTAAGCTGGTTAATACACTTACAGCGCTTAGCGCAGGGCCTGGCAGTAGAGGCACTAAGGGAGCATTCATTAAACACGGACAGCACAGTAGACTTGCCACGCACGTGCTCACGAACGCACACTGTGCTCCTGCGGGTCACATGCAGACCGCAGCTTCAGACACAAGTGCGCGCACACGTGAACGCAGACCCTGGTGAACACGGGGCCCCAGAGATGCCTGCAGGGCCCGGCTCTCGTGCACGGTGGTGCTCAGGACACCCGCACCCTCCCATCTACCCCGACAATGACATGCAGGCGTCTGCATACCCCGAGCTCACTGTGGGGAGTGGGGAAATGGCTCTGCCTGCTGGCATTCCCTAGTGCTTGACGTGCCTCTGTGCAGGGCACCGAGCCCCTCTGGGCCTCAGTTTCCCCGTTTAAAGTCTTCGTGTGGGGCGGTGTCCGGCTTTGCGGAGCCTTCGCTGGGGCTGGAATTGCCAGGGCACCAGCACAGGTAAATGGGGGGCTGGCCCCACAGGGTAGGGGGAGCTGCAGCGTGGAAGATTGGTGGGCACATGTCTTTTTCGCGCCTTCTTTTTACAGATGGGGTGACTGAGGTCTGGAGGACAGCCCGGGGTTCACAGGGACTGGGCAGAGCTGAGAAACCCTGGAACACACATCTTCCAGCTGTGGGCTCTGTCCCGTGTCGCCGGCGCTGGCTGTTCCAAGTCTCTGGGAGACGGTGGCCTGCCTGCCATCTCTAGAAGGCAGAGGCCCACCCGGTGGCAGTTACAAGGCCTTGAAGTCAGGCACACGGGCAGACAGCCTCCTAGAACGGCTAGTCGCTGGGACAGGGCTGCTGGGGCACTGGACACAGGGGAAACACCCAGGTCCCAGCCCAGGCCCAGGCTGCACTGCCTCAGGGACTCCCGCTCTGCCTCTGCCTCTTGTCCCCATTTCTCTCCCTGCCGCTCTTGGTCTGTCCACCCCCTGCTCTGGGGAGTGCTCATCCCATCCCCTCTGTCTTGTCTTCTCTCTCGAGCCTTCTTCCCCATCTGAATCTGGGCCTCCCCTCTCAAGAACATGCATTCCCTGGAGGCTCCTCACCTACCAGTCCCCTCTCAGCAGTGAGCTCTTGGGGACCGCCATCTCTCCTTGCCACACCACATCCACTCCCTGGGCAACCGGCTCCCACTCTGGGTACAGCTGGCCGTCTGTGTGCATGGGGGGATGGCGAGAGCTGAAGGGGGCTCCTAAGTCGCGCCGCTGCTTGGCTGACTCTGACCTCAGACCCACAGTCCTTGCCTGGGATTCAAACCAAAGTTGCAGGAAACAGAGGCCCCCAAAGCGAAGTCTGGGACTCTGCGCGGGCCTCGCCAGGCTTCCCTAGATCACTGTCATGTTCCAGAGAGACAGGAGCCCTGGGGCTCAGAGAGGCCAGGACCAGGAAACTCCAGCCAGACCTGGGACCCCAACCCAGGCTCCAGAAATAGGGGGTCAGGCATCTGGAACCCACAGTCCAGATACTCCAGAGACAGCAGGCACGGAGGATCCTGGGTCGCTCACCAAAGTTCTGACTACCGGGGAACCCACACCTCTGCGCCCCAGACCTGTCCCGGGACCCCTGAGCTAGCCGGCAGCCAGGCGCGGCGTGGCGCGGCGGCGGCGGGGACTTACCAGCGCGTACGCGGAGCCGAGCATCGGGCAGCAGAGCAGGAGCGCCAGGCCGGGTGCGATCCGGGCGGCCCCCATCGCCACCGCCTAGGGCCGCGTCCCTCGGGGCAGCTGCCGC